CGAATATCAAAACCACTTTTTCAGTGAACAATTAAAGAAGTAACAAATTGTTCCTATTTCTCGTATATCAAAACCACTTCTTCAGTGAACAATTAAAGAAGTAACAAATTGGCCCTTCCTCCACCTTCTCCTTAATTGGACCAGTTAATGCTATTAAGTTGATAGTCTTCCTCTTGCAGGTATAATTATCCTTTCCAAAGCATTTCCACTGATTTGCCTCAGGGTTTTGAGTACTGCAATTACCTCTATTTTTTTTTTAAATGCTGAGATTAATCTTAAGTCATTACAATTACTATCAGAGCAGGAAAAAAATCAACTTCCAGAACTTTTACAATTCTTATTATTCAGCAGTTCTAACAAAATCCCTTGTACCGGGATTTATTTAGTTAAAATTTCATACACACCAGGGCAGCCTGAAAAGATTCACATCTCATTTTCATGACGATCCCTATTCTCCGAGGGATAACACTCTCACAGTCCTACTCCAGCACAAATCAAGTGCCACAGAAACAATTAGGGAGACTTTGTATTATCTAAATGAAAGACTGAATGAGAAAGCACTTCTAATTTTCCACTGAGATTTTTACATGTGGGCCCAACGGTACCTTTTTCAGCTTTTTCGTTTGTTTTTGTTTTTTTTTTTTCAAAAAATAAACCTCTGTCCTTTAAAGGCTTGAAATGAGAAATCTCAGCATTTTTGCTAGTCTGGTTGCACCCAGAAAAAAGAAGTAGAACTTACTAAGAAAGTAACTGGCTGTTGCTATGCTGTAGCCAGGGCACTGGGCAGCACAGACACACTCATTTTTAGGACAGGTCTGTTGAGTTCTCCTTTTTTTCTTCCCATCTTCATGTGCTCTTTCCTGTTGTTGGAAATAAGATTGCTTTATTATTGTCTCAGTTCCACTGAAGGACTTAAGAAAAATCCCTTGAGTATAGAAAGTTAATTAGGCCCCCCTTTTTTCAGTCCCTCCAAATAAATTTTGCATTTTAGAGAGCTAGAAGAAGAATTCTGTGATATTTACTATTTTCACTTAAGGTTTTTACACAGGTCAGCTGCTTTAAAAATAATAAATAATAATGATAAATAAAAATAACAAAATTCTTAAGTGATAGATTCTCCGAATTTCTGCCAGTTTTGCAACTACTTAGCAATACATAATGCTGGATTTCATTTTCATTACTTCACTTCAAGATCAGTAGTTCCTAAAACATATTTAATTTGAATGTTTGTACATGTGGTTCCTTAACTCCCTGTATCTTGTCTGTATTTATCTCAACCCAGAGAAGAAGAAAAATAGCTAATGCACTTAATTCCAGGCTGACAAGCATCCTGGGCCAGTTATTACCTATTAACGGATTTTTAAATAGCATCTACTAACTGATATGTCAGTGGGGCAAGGGACAGTTAGTACACAATACAATACACTCAGTGGACCAAGCAGGATATTCTAGTGAACAAGATTTTGAAAAATCTTGATATTTATAAAAAGTGTTGCCCAGTCTTTTAAGCACCCATGAGCTCCTGGGATTTCAACTGGCCAAACAGGCTAAGTGGCATTAAATCCAATTTCTGACTTGCAGAAGGCCGATGGAGTGCATTGTTTCTCTCAAGTTTTTAGCCCAATACTAATGAGCAAAAGCAAATTACACTGAAACTTGAAGAAGTATCAATTAATATTCAATTTTCGCTTGGGTTTATAAAAAAGCCAAATATTTTATAATGAGGCTTTCATTTGAAGCTGAAGACTGTACATTTTAACTAGCAACTTTTTAATTGTGGTGATCAAAATTGGTAGCAGGGAGACTTCAGTATCAAATTGTTTCCACCTGAATATACAGAAAAATATTTTATTTTTACAGCTGAACTGTTTTTCATTACTTTTATTGGATTTGACATTTACTTGCATGACTAATTTCATACAAAAATAATTTCATACAAAATCTTATTCAGTTCAGTACAACTACTTATATCAAGAGATAAATACTAATAGACTAAACAGGAAAATTCTATCTATCTGTTAAAGTGTTAATTGCTTAATTGTGGTAAGGACTACTGCACAGTGTATTTGTATTTGTACAGTCTTTGTGGAGAGCAAAAGCTTTGATGATAAGCTCGTATCTAGTCAGTCAAGGGGATTTGATATTAAGTGGTTTCCTCCACAGCAACTTGAGGCAAAGATCTGGGGACAGAGAATGATAAATGACTCTGTGAGCTCCATCCTACCACGGACAGAGTTCACAGGTGTTTCGTATGCATTTCATCTCTGGAAAAAAAAAAAGACAGATGTGAAAATGCTTCATGATCCAAACTCACTCTACAGGTCAGTTTTTCAGCAATGAAATTCAGTGCCACGCTGAGGTTCATCAGAAAACCTATACATCACTTATGACCTCTAAGTGGGTCTTATGCAGTCTTAAGGCAAGAAAGCTTGCCTTCTGCCCTTCTTCAGAAATATGAATTACAGTCTTTTTTCGAAGAGGAGGCTAGAAAGCAAAATCTCAACTACAAAATAAGTCTTAACCTACCTCTCTAAAGCATAGAACTTTCTTATTTCCTCAGAAGAAAAAATATCTATGTGTATATATTCATTAAAATTCCAGAGAACCCCTGGTATAAATGACTAGTAAGAATGTTTTTTTAACTCTGTGTTTATTTAGAGAAAAAACACCACTGTATAACTATCCAATTGCTCAACTGTTTACCAGATTTTCATACAGAGAGACATTTAGTGTTGATATCTGACAGAGAGATCCTGTAATTACCTGTGCTGTATTTGCTGCTTTGAAGCTTTACTTATAAATAATGCTGCTTGGGGAGACTTTAGAAGTGCAGAACGTAGAACACAATTTTTAGCCCCATCCTCGCACACTCAAAACATCCTTTGAGTTTAACAGGAATTTAGGCGAGTCAGGAATGCAGAAATAGCTCCTATAACCTCTATGCAGACAGTGTTAAATAATGCAACTAGAGAAACAAATAATAGTAAAAAGAAATATGCAAAGAAAAAAACCAAACCATTTTCAGTAGACTTGAAATAAAGCGGAGAATTTGTGAGGTGGAAGAATAGTGTTTGCTCCACAGGAGATAAGGTAGAAAGCCTTCGTGCTTGGCTTAGGAATGGAGAATTCTAGATAAAGAAGGCAAGAAAAGCAGGCAAATACAAGTCTAAGAAATAAATAACATTAAGCATCATGAGACATTCATAAGAGCTTCCATCTCAGCTCTTCATTTCTTCACAGCTGGGACACACACCAGCCTGAGACTGGATGAAGTGTTTTTCTGCTGCTACAGCTCGGCTGGTTTTGTGACTGGAGCTGACAGTCACAAAAATCAATGCCGTGCTAATTGACTTCAAGACTTTTCTCCTCGTGCCTCTTATGGTAATGGAGGCTGGGCACCCTTAAAAGAATTGTATCTACTGAAAACAGACTTTCTACCTGTCACTACATAAGGTCTCTTCTCTGGACTCCAAGATCTGGTCAGTATGTATTTTCCTTGGCATCAGTGCTTAAGAACTGTCACGGGAGAGAACCTCTGTAATAAAAAGGGATGGACTAGTGAGTGTATCTCAGCAAACACTGAACAATACTTGTCTGTGCTCATACACAGAGTACGTGGCTGCTGAAGGCAAAGATCTGCGTTTCTTTACCTTTTGCAACGAGAGGGCCTTTGTTTACATGCAAAGCCCCAGGACTTGCATGAAACCTGGGTGGCCCTGTCATTGCCACACATCCCAGCCTCACCCTTCCATGCAGCAAATATAACCTGTTCTTCAGATCACATCATTTAAGCTGTACTTCTGTGTTATGGTTTGAGGAACCCACAATTTATTGCTGTTTAGACAATTGTGCTATCACCCAATGACCACTCCCAACCCAGGAAGGGGAATCAGGAAAAAAACAAGGAAAACTTGAGAGTTGAAATATAAACAGGTTTAATAGAACAAAACTAAGTATTTAACATTAATAATACTAAAGAACCAATATTGATACTGATACCAATATAAAATATACAAGGATTATACTCAGCCAAGTACATCATCAGGAAGCTGTGCACTCCCAGGAGTGTGCCATGGCTTTGGGAAGAAGGGAAGGGCTCAGGGGTCTGGTACCAGGGCAAGTTCTCAGGATGGCAGTCATCAAGGGAGAGAGACAACCCCTCAGCAAACTTTCTAATGTATATTGAATGGTTCTCAGGATGGCAGTCATCAAGGGAGAGAGACAACCCCTCAGCAAACTTTCTAATGTATATTGAATGTGACATTCATGGTATGAAATAATCCTTTTGGAGCTTGGGTCAAGTGCCCAGGCCTCACTCCTAAACTTGGCAAGGCTTGAAAACACTAAGACCTTGAATTCCACATACCACAGCTGGCTAGAAAGTATTTTCACAAATTCAGACACTCAAGAGTTCTAAAAGTGCATGAGATAAGACTTCACTGAAAAAGAAAATGACTGAAAATTAGTCCCGTATCACTCAAAGCAGGACATTCTGTCAGCTAGATGAGTAGGCCAAAAGTTACATATTAAGTTAGCAGCTTTCCATTTTCTCAGACTTGGGAAAAGCCAAACATCACCTCCCCACCTACCACTGTCGCAGCAGAGCTGGCTGCTCCCTTCCACAGGAGTGTCATCAGCCCTCTCTGATACCAGGAAGCACCTGGAGACTTCAGGTCTCCCAAAACCAGCAAGCAAGCCCAAGGCAGAACACTCAGGAGCGCTGAATGCTGAAGATCTGACTTGGGACCTCTTAACAACCAGGCCCAGGGACAATCGGGGCCAACCCCCGCCGTGAGATGAGGCAGCGCAGCGCCGAGACCTCCCAGCAGCACCGAGGGGAAAGACAACACAGGGGAAGGGTCAGCAGAAGCGTAACTCTACGCCTCCTGAAGGAAGGGACAGCCCCACTCTCCTGCCCTCACAGCCGGGCCGCGCCCGCCCTGACTGACACAAAATGGCGGCCGCGGGCGCCCCGGCCGCCTCCCCCATCCCGCGCGCCGGGGCTCGAGGCGGCGGGCGGGGCCTTCGCGAGGCGAGAGCCGCGGCCTGAGGGAAGGGGCGCGCGCGGCGGCGGAGCTGCCTCTGGGGCGGCGCCGGGACCGTCCCGTCCCCGCCTCGGCCCGGTATCATCGGCGGCGGCTCCGTGTCGGCCCGGTCTGACTCCTCCTCCTTCGCCGCCGCCGCCTCCCGGCGTGGTGAGTAGGGGAGCCCGGTGGAGGAGGAGATCCCAAGGACGTCCAGAGCTCTTCCCGCTTCCCCCCCACCCCTCTCCGCTCCAAGCGGGCCCCTCAGAGTGACACGTTTCTCCCTCTCTCCCTCCCCCCCGCCCCTCCCGTTTCCTCACGTCTGCCCATATCACAATAGTCGCCGGCACCGAGGTCGGGGGGTTGCTGGTGTGCGGGATGCCGGGCGCTGAGGGCCGGCAGCCGAGGTCAGCCCCCGGGGCCGCTGCCAGAAGGGGAGGACGAGGGCAAGGCCGGGGTGAGCCGGCAGCTTTTGGCTCTGAGGAGGGGAGTCGAGGCCGCCGCTAGAACCAGGGGTAAAAATGCCGCCGTGAGGCCCCTCGGGCGGGGTGACCGGTGCTGAGGCCTGCCCGGCCCGGTGAGAAGGTGTTTCCATCTCCTTGAGTCAGGGGCTACCGATTGGGAGACGCTTGGTTTCGCTGCCTGGAGTCGTCGTGTTTCCAGGCCGGGCTGCAGCAGATCTGCACCCTGCACTCAAAAGCAAAGTATTGGCAAAATACTCAATAGATTGAGGTTTTCCTCAGTGTGTATGAGTGGCACCTGTGGCAAAGAGCCCAGCACGGAAAGGTGGTGGTGCACACGTGTCTTCCACTAGGGACACCTGCAGTCATTCTGATCTAGTGGTAATAAAAGTGAAAGGAAAAAAAAATAATCACAGTTTTATTTTCAGTGATACAAGACATTGACTTTTTCACAGTCAAAAGCAGATTAGTACCTTAAAACTGCAACAGGATGCAGTTGTAACTGTGACAATTCTTGTGCAATTCAACTATTGGCAAACAAATACATAGTATCTGTTCAGATGAAATGAAGAAACATCTCAGAGTTTCCTGTTTGGGTGGTTTTCTTAATACCTCTGTTTTTTCTTTTTTCTTTTTTTTTTTTTTTTTGTTTCAGGGTAACCAACCAAAGAAGTTATGAATATCATCTGTGGTTTAAAGTTGCCTGGCAGGAACTGTATTTTCTTTCATTTGGCTTCTTTCACCAAGCAGGGGAAATGCAATAACCTCTGTAGGTCTTACTCAGGATGTTGCCGAACTCAAGTCAGTTGTACACGAGAAAAATGCCAAAGGCTGGATTTGAGTAGAAATACTAGAAACTGGTTTTGGACTGGAAGGTCTGACTCCTGTAGAAACTTCACTGGTAAAGGATGGAGGTGTCTTTTGAATGTCTCAAATGCAGAAGTATACAAGAATGCACACCACAATTCAGAACGGTTTTGCTTCCAACCTTCTCAGCTGTTGGGGGAGAAGACCACATCCCTCCAGAACAGTTCTCTAGGGCAACTCCCACATCGTTTTTCTGCTTGGAACACTCAGGTCATCAGGTCTTTTCGCACATCACCACCATTTCAGGCTGCACCAGTTCCTCTTTTCTGGATTATTGTTAAGCCAGCTCAGAAGTTATTTGCTATCATTCTTGGCAGGTAAAATACCATCTTACTTCCTCTCTCAATGTAAGACTCCATTATGCAAAGATGTGTGCATGAGTTTGTTGGTTTTTCTGGAAAATGGTAGGTGTATTTGTAGCCTTTTCATTTTAATATCTGCAAAATTTTGTAGGACTGGGGCCTAGACTGACAGTTTGCTCAACAAGAAGTTGTTTCCATTATCAGAGGTGTTCGATGTATCTTTTGCTCTTCTCATTCTTGTTTACGTGTGGTAGAGGGAGATGAACACTAAGGGACATTCCTTCTCATTTGGGAGGGAAGAAATGGAGTGGAGTAGAAGCCAATTAGAGTATAACCTTTCATAAACTCTTACATGAGGTGAGACTGTAATCTAGAATACAGCAAGGACAGACACTAACAAATTCCTTTTTAACTATGTTCTAAGTTGACAATGTTTGTATCTTACAGGAGCATAAGAAACTGGTGGAAAGCACTTCCTCCTAATAAACGGGAACATTTTAAAGAAAGTGCAAGGAAAAATAAATGGAAGATACTCCTGGGTTTTAGTAGCTTAGGAGTTTTATTTGTCATGTTTTATTTTACTCACTTGGAGGAGACACCCATCACTGGGCGCGCTCGACTGTTGGTGTTTGGAAAAGAGCATTTTAGGGAACTGTCTCAGATGGAATATGATATGGTAAGATTTTTTAATAAAATCTAAATACTTTTAAATTGTTAATGATTTTTTTTAGTGATGAGGTGGACACAACCAGGTTCGCTTGCCTTAATTTGTTCTGAATTTCATGCTCAGAACCGTGCAGAGCACCCCCATCAGCCAACCCCTCCTCTTGTCCCCATCCTCTGTAATAGTTCCTTTTCCATAAGCAAACCATTCAGGGACATATGATGGTTAAAGAATACATTATATGTATGTAACAAACGTTTTTAACTGTGTTATTGTAATATAACAAGAAATACAAAAATCTGGTAGAAGCAATAAAAGCATAGATAATAGGTACATGCTCAGATCTAATTTTCTATGCTGATTTGAGCATTATTTGGCACTTGTTTAAGGTCCTTTCTTCTAAGCTGTCACTTTCTAAGGCATTACTCCACCTGCATTCAATTATACTTCTTATTTTCTGTTGGATCAGCTAATTTTTCTTTAATTGCTTTCTTTTAAACTGTCTATTTTACTAATTTCTGTACCTTTGAGTTTTGTGATTTTTGGTTCTGAAGTCAGTAAAGCTTGATAATCCAGCCATATACAAATGTCACTATTCCATTGGACAGACAATGTGAGATAAGAATATAGCAAAAGAAGTACAAGGATATATTCAAATTACATCTTTTGTATAAAATTGCCCACATTACAAATTACAACAGAAATGTACAGATAGATAAAAACTATGAATTCAAATGGAAATTCAAGAAGGTATAGAAAGCTTAACTGTGTATTAGGGAAACACCAGATACAGGAGACTGTAAGACCAAGTTTATACTACTTATTTTTGATCTGTGGTCAGTTTACTTCCTTTTAAATTCAATAATCCTTAACTTGTGTGTCTGAAAGCCTGAATCTAATATATTTGCTTTGGCTATATGAAAGAAAAATGTACTAAAACTGAGATTTAACTAGGGTGCATGTAGCTGCTAAATTAGTTTACCAATTAGTCGTTTACTGTGTGTTTCTTCTGCATGGCCATCAGTGATTTTATATTTTTTTTTTCAGTGGATGGAAGAATTCAAAAATAAAATGTTGCCTGAGACAGATGCGCGCTACCAGGTTGTGGAGAGAGTTGTTGGTCATTTATCTGAAAGCAATAAAGACATCCCACAGGTCTCAGCACTCAAGTGGGTTATCCATGTGGTAGACGAACCAGGTGTAAATGCTTTTGTGCTTCCAGTAAGTTCAGCCCAGTACAAAAATTATTAGTAATGTTGAAACAGCATTTTATTTATGTGTATTCTACTTAATTTTCACTCTCTTTTTGTTTACAGAATGGCCAAGTGTTTGTTTTCACTGGGTTGCTCAATGCAGTTTCTGATATTCATCAGCTGTCTTTCATTTTGGGACATGAAATAGCTCATGCTGTGCTGGAACATGCAGTAAGTATTTAAAGAAAGCTGTCTAAAATTCTTAAATGAATTCTAATTAATTTTTTCCTATCACTACCAACCAAAGTTTCAGTGTGACTCTTTGTAATTAATGAAAAGATGAGTTTGAAATGAGTATTCTGATAGAGTGTATCCTTATTGGAGTACTTAACAGCTGTCAGAAGTCCTGTAGCAGTCAGTGTTAGCACAAAGGCTGCCAGTGCTCTTTTCATAACTGTACAGATGGATTATGGCCCACTATTAACAGTCATTTAGAACTTGGTCTGGAGATCCCTCTCCTCCTGTAGCACAGACACAAGGGACTAGGAGGTAGTCAGCAACTCGTTACTCCTAGACTCGTTAGTATCTACAGAAGTGGATATACTTCAATAAATTATTCTAAAATACATGATATCTTTTCCTTATACATGAAATCTTTCCTTATACATGAAATCTTTCCTTATACATGAAATCTTTTCCTTATACTAGCATACAGTTGTAGAATGCCAAACTGCAGAATGGCTGGAGCTTGATTCTGCATTTACAGGTGATTGATATGTGTATATTGAAATTGGTAGTTCTTGGCCTTTTGAACAGGATGGATGGAATAATTTTTTTGTGCTTCGTAGGTAGAATTGTGACAAAAGAAGATGTGCCAGATACTGATCTAGATTGGCTTGATTCGCTAGAAAATGCTTCTTTGCTTACAAATTGATTTCTTTCTGTGTATGTCATTTTTAAAAATTGTATTCATTACCTGTCCATCAGTTTGAGAAGACATAGAATCATAGAAGCATTTAGGTTGGAAAAGGACTTTAATGATCACTGCGTCCAACCATTAACCCAGCACTGCCACATCCCTCAGCACAACATCTGCATGTGTTTTAAATACCTCCAGGGATGGTCACTTAACCACTTCCCTGTTCCAATGCTTGACAACCCCATTAGTGAAGAAATTTTTCCTAATATTTATCCTAAACCTCCCCTGATGCAACTTGAGGCTATTTCCGCTTGTCCTATCACCGGTACCTTGGGAGAAGAGACTGACCCCAGCCTCAGTTCACCCTCCTTTTAGGTAGTTGTGGAGAGTGAGAAGGTCTCCCCTGAACTTCCTTTTCTCCAGGCTGAACAATCCCAGCTCCCTCAGCCGCTCCTCCTAAGACTTCTGGCCCAGACCCTGCACCAGCTCCATTGCTCTTCTCTGGACATGCTCCAGCACCTCAATGTCTTTCTTGCAGTGAGGGCCCTGAAACTGGATACAGTATTTGAGGTGGGGCCTCACCAGTGCCAAGTACAGGGGAACAATCACTGCCCTAGTCCTGCTGGCCACGTTATTTCAGATAACCTTGTAAAAATAAAGATCCTGCTAAAATAGCGAAGCTAATCTGGAAATGGGTAAATACATTTTTAAAGGCAGTGGAAATACAGAAGAATTGCTTTACTGCACCTTGTATGATTTTGGATAAGCAACAGTTCACATCATAGTTTCTTGGGCTCACTTGGGCCAACTAACTTGTTAAACTCTTAAAAAAAACCAAAACATTTCTTATAATAAAAAAGACTTACCTTGTTTGTATGGAACCTGTGTCACCCAACTGGCATAGAAAAAAGTATTGCATAATCTGGCTTGTAATCAATTTCTTGCATGTCAAATAGAGCTCTGGAAAACAGAAGAATTTAAATTTCTTTCTTCAAGATCTTTTAGTTTCTGAAACTAAAGGAATGCAACAGAAAATAAAGAGTAAATATATTATGCTTAGTGTCCCTTTATACCATTAGTGGTCCTGTCTAAATGATGTCTATACCTTCTCAAATTAATGTAAAGAACAGTCTTCTAGGTTTTTTATAGATTTTTTGTTGTTGTTCTTTTTCCAACTGAGGTGTTTCATGGCCTTTTTACTCAAGAACTCTGTGCATGCTGCCATCATCTTATCTCAGGCTTTGAATCTCTCGAATTGAGAGATTGCCAAGGTGTGGTGGCATTCTAGACTTAAAGTACCTTTTATACAACTGAAACTTTTGTGTAAGCAGGTGAGCTTGTGCTTGCCCTGTCCCTGTGGCTGCATAGAAAAAAAAAGCAGTGATTTTTACAGTGTTTCCAAATTCTGTTGTGTTCTCAAGAAATGTCAGAGAGTAAGGAATGAAAATGAGACAATTTCTGTTTGCAGGCAGAGAAAGCCAGCCTGGTTCACTTCTTGGATTTTCTCTCGCTCATCTTTCTCACTATGATTTGGGCCATCTGTCCCCGTGATAGTTTGGCAGTTGTTGGCCAGTGGATTCAGAGCAAGTTGCAGGAGGTAAGACTGACGTTTCGTGTTATTCTACCCCAAGTTCCATGGAAAAACATTTTTAATCTTGGGGAGATAGTACCACTAAACAGTATGTTTGGGGAAAAGGGCAAGAGGGGAACTATTATAAGTAAAAATTTATATGTGAGTATGTTTTTGAATGAAATATATTTTTATAAATCTGCATCTTCTCATCTTGAAGAACTTTAGATTCCCCTCAGTGACTCTCTGTCGCTGAACAGGCTGTGAGTACCTGATTGCCAATGAAGTTAGATGATTGTCTTTTTGAAATGTAGCTCATCCTTTAAAGCTGTATATGTTGAAGTGCCATGTTTTTATTTTGAGTAGCTGTTAAATTGTTCCTAAATGAAATAAAATGTATGGGTTTCTTTAAATGCATTGTTAGTGGTAAAATAAGAAAACTGAGAATCTAAACACTCTTTAAAAATATAAACCATGCTACAATAAAACTTACAGAAATAATCTTTTCAGACAGCATATATTCCAATAAAGTAAAATGCAGAGGCTTTGTGGTGCCATTTTTCTTCAACAGTCTAATTTACACTCTGCCTCCAGACAGTTACTGATCCTTTTTTTTTTTTTTTTTAAAAAGTGGGGGTTTTTACTCCGTCAGACAATTTTTTGTTCTTTTTTTTTTTTTTTTTTGAAAAAGTGGGGGTTTTTAAAAGAAATTTTGCTTCCATCATAAAACTGGAATCTGAACTGAAAGATTTAAGTGAAAGAGCTCTTTGGTTTCTTTGACTTCTCTTGATGCTTTTCCTGAGATTTCCCCTGGTTCCTCAAAACCATAAAATTAAACATAAACAATCTGTTTTGGTAGTTCTTATGCTAATTGGTAGACGTGCGGATTCTGAACATAAATTTTCTCTAAAGAGCTTGGATATTTGTACGAGTAGCTAAGAAACCAATACATTGATGAATGCTAGCCAGCATTTTGAAGAGCTGAATTTGGAAAAAGCAAAGTGTGAATCAATCCTGAGGCTGCTCGTAATTTAGACAGCAAAGACTTAACTCCCTGTCAGCATCTTTTCTCCTCTTCCAGGCTAACGGCAACTGATATTTTGGCTTTGTGGATTGGAGTTGTGCTTTAGGTTGCAAACGTAATCTGGGTTTAAGCTGAAAATCCTAGTATGCTATACATAAGATCTGTCATATATGAGATATTGTATAGTAATGTCCTGCTTTAAAACTGTGATCAAACTCATCTCCAGTAACGTTAAACATATCCATAAGTAATGCAGAATGAATAAGTGATTAAGACTGGCAAAGCTTTCAGCCCATATACCAAGGACGCTGAACAGAATTTTTTGTTTCTATTAGTCACCCAGGAGTGCAATGTCTGTTTCTTTCATTCAGTGTTTGCCAATTGAGCTTGTGTGAAAATGACCCTGCATGTTTTCTCACAATGTTTCTTTTCCTCCTCTTCCATAACTGTATTTTACTTTCTAAAGTTTTAGCATCCCGCTCTGTGAAAGGGTTATTTAAGCCATGTTGTGATACTTGCTTCTGTTTCAGTATTTGTTTTTCTTTTATGTCCTCAGAGGCTTAACTTTTTTACCTACTGACTATTGGTTATTTTTTATTATTGACTATAAGTAATTTCCAGTGACTCTTCGTAGGCCTTTTGGCATGCTGTAGCTCCAGTTCTACTTTTTTCTTCAAAGCTAGTGGGTTTGCTTGCCTTAAGAAATTGTTAAGTTCTCTTCTGGGATTCATTCATGGTTGTTCTCCAGTCATGTATTTCTGAACTGACACGTGTTGGCTTTGGTTTTACAGCAGCAGTTATTTTATATGGGAACAAAAGCCTAGGAACTATTCTTGGAATGGCACAAAGCATGACTCTGAGTTTTATTGATGTCCTGCACACTGCTATGTATAGTTACAGTACTTCGTATTCCCTTTCTTGTTCACCTGAGACCATCAGATTTGTATTTCATGTGAAAAATGGTGGTTTTGTGTAGTCAGCTTACCTGAAACTTCCTTTTCGTTAACATACACAGACAACTTCCGTAATTGATTTGAAAAATCAAATCCATCTTCTCTATTATGTCCAATTTCTGAGAAAGATTTTTAGATTACAGTTTGAAGATCTAATTTTTCATTCCAGCAGTCATGAGAGATTTTTTTTTAAATTCATTTTTCAGTAGCAGATGAATAGTACTGTATGTTAGGTGCCTCAAGACCCTCTTACATGACCACTGCTGAGACTTTATTGGCGAGAAGCACCCTGTGAAAGAGAGCACAAGTTTTCTCAAGAGACTCAGATTATCTTGCAGTTTTAATTTTAGATCTGAAGAAGAAACGCATAGAATTCTGAACTAGATTCTTTCCAGATGTTCTATTAAGACACATGCATTCTATTTCGGATTTCCTAAATTTCTGCAAATCTTTTTTAGAGATGGATGATACCCCTTCTTCTTAAAAATTATTGTAAACCTGCCAGAGAAGAAAACAACAAGTAGTTGTAAGTGAAGAAATAGGAAATTGCCTGCTTGTGTTAGCCTCAGTTCTAGTTAGCGCTTTGGGTAGTCCTGTTACTAGTTTCATTTCCCTGAGAAATGTTTAATAATTGAACAAATAGTTTATCTGGCTAACTGGGAAATGGTGCTTCAGGAATATATGACAGACTAGCCAGGGATATCCTAGACATTTAGTAAATATATGCACTCCGGTAGACACAGTGCACTTTTCAAGGCAGTAGAAATATATATTCCACTTCAAATAATGACTTTATCTTCAGAGGACTGTAAAAATAGATTTGTAATTGCAGTGCTTAAGGTCTGTAAGGAAATTAAGAATTCGGAGAGTGACCTTGTCTATGCTTACTTGTAAACCAGTGTGTTTGGCTTGAAAAGACCTGCAGGGCTTTGGTTGGCTTTTATTTTTGGCCTAGTAAAGAAAAACTATCAGTAATACTTTAGAAAGAAGCTACAAGTTATATCTTTAGGTACTCAAAGGATCGGACCACTTCTTCTGGTGCTCTTCATTTCTATCTGTTTTTTGGTTTGGGTTTGTTGTTTGTGGGGTTTTTTTTTCTGGAATGTATAAGGAGGGCATATTTCTTTAAGTAGATAAAGAGCTGATAAAGCCTCTTCCTGTTCACTAATCACATCCCCATTCTTCAGCTGATATTTTCTAATCGATGCCTGGACCAGAATGTTCCTTATCTCCACAGGAGCAGGATGTTTTAACAAGTCCTGATTTGCATTTACTGTAACCTGTTATACAAGGGCAAGGCTGCCCAAATCTACATGAACTGTATGTGCCAGAAGATCCCGCTTCATATGACTAAATAACCCTTAGAGAAAAGTACCACTGGCTCTTAGTATGCACTAACACAATGTCACACCCTAGAAAAAAGGGAGAAGAGTTGGTCAGGTTTACGTTTTCTAGTTTGATTTCTTAAGGTCCATTTGCATCTTGCGTAGGGGAATAATCATGACAAAGGAGTGAATTCTGCATGAAAATGTTTATGGCTACATTCCATATGGCTGTTTACCATACAAAATAGATCATAGCAGGCTTAAAGAAAGTTGTCATAAAAGTTCAAGGAAACCACTGGAATTTTTTTACATACTGTTACTACAACAAAAATCTTAATGCCAATAAAAGAGTGAAGTGAAAAAATTCTGGTTTAAAGTTGGCATTAACTCTTTAGTTGCCGCAAAATGCGGTGAGACTGGCTGATGAGAGGGACCATGAAAATATGTGTAATTTGAATTGATTTCCACTGAATACGGGATCAGTGATAGGAAATTAAAGATTGCATTAAGAAAATTAATACTGATTGCATGCAATGTGAACATGATATATAAACACCTCTTCTTATGAGAAGGTTAGAAAAATAGCTACAATATTTTAGCTTTGTAGCTATTCAAAACCAAGAAATAAAGCTTTGATGTTCTTCTTTGCAGTTTATGTTCGATAGACCGTACAGCAGAACATTGGAGGCTGAAGCTGATAAAGTCGGACTTCAGTTGGCAGCAAAGGTAAACTACAAGTGATTTTTTTTTTTTTTTTATTAGCAATTTACCAGACATTTTTTGGTTTCTATTATAATCAGAGGGAGTCTCACACTTCATACAGAGGCAAACTGTGTGTGAGAGTTCCCAAAGTTTTGAAGATATGGACATTAATGAAGCAGTGAGAAATAAAACAGTTTGTAGGGACAAAGTCATTCTGGCTAAACTGTATGTAGTAAAATTGAAATTTATAAAGTTGTGCATTAATAGCTGCACAGTATACTTTCTATGTAGTTAGAAAAAAAAAAAAGCTACATATTTATAAAGAGGAGAATGCCAGATAGTAGGAAATGGTTAATTGTATGTAAAGCTATAAATTGACCTTTAGATTTTTGTTTTTTTAATTTCCATCTATTGTGAGAAGTTCTGAGGAATGCTTTACTCTCTTGTTATGCACCTATAACGATCTGATCTATAGTATCTATTCTCATAACAATACAGTAAAATTTAAGAACGTTTTGATAGTGTGGTTATATTTTCTGTGTTTGCTGATAATTGCAAAACAAATCAACATTGTTCTCGTATTTAAAGATTTGGTCTAAATAAATGTGGCCTTGCTGAAATAAGATAACAATTTGGTCAGAAACTACTTAGTGTCCACTTTCTTATCCTCTTTTTTTTTTTTTTTTGCATAGATTGTTTTTTGCCTAGTTTTTTCTTTTTAAAAGATAGTGTTAAAGCAATTCACAACAGCACTGTTTTTCAGCAATCTAAACTGCATTGGGAAATTCCGTTTCTTATAATCAATTGGTAATTTCTTCTTCCTTTTTTTTTTTATTAATTTCACAGTCACTTTGAGTTTTTCTCAGTTCCAAACTGTAACAACAGTTGAAGATTTATCGGCAGAGGGAACACTAAAATGTTGAGGTGTTTGCTGATTTCAAAGGAGAAAAAAAAATTAATTCATGAATCCTTTGATGAGAACGAATGCAGTAAATATTCTAAATAATGGCATAAATCAAAATCAACATTAGGGGTAGGAGGACTGGCTGGGCTGAATATTTTAGATTAATATACAGAAATTCTGTACTTTGCAAAAGCAGGTTGTGAGACTATTTTGGTGGATTTTCTAACACAGTAGAGCAGCTGAATGGAAAATAGTACTTTTTGGAAAAATAGGCTTGGAAATTTTCTTCCAAAAGACAATGGAGGAGGTGTTTTCATTTACATTTTACCTTAAACATTCTTTGGAGTAGGATGAGAAAGCAGGGGCTGAAGGCTTCCTGGTTTTAGTAGATGTTCACTAGATAGGTGAGGTTAATATCCCAAAAGTGGAATAAAAATGAAAGAAGGTATGTAGAGGTGTTGGAGGCTTCTTGTCTGAAGTGTTGACTTCCCTTCATCTGAGACCTGCCTTGAAGCTGGATCCTCAGATATTTAAAGGGAATCCCAAGGCTTGGTTGTTGTTCAATATCAGTGTCTTTTTGTTTCATTGCTCACATAATTAACGCCTTTTAAAACAGTATGTTTACAATATATTAATGGTCATTAGATATTCAGAGGCTGGAGGGAAAAGCCAGATTTCAAAAGGAGCCTTTTTATCTCTCTAGTCTCTCACTGTGAAGAAACTGTACTTCTTGGACTTAGATCTGTACTTAGTATCAGATCCAGCATAAGCAAGAAACAAGGGTTTAAATCCTAAAAAAACCCAAACAAACCTCTGCTGGGTTTTACCTTTGTGCTTGCCTTTGAATGTTACTTCAGTTGAAATTGCTCTTTTTCTGAAGATATGAATAAAATACTTGGGTTTGTAGTAACAATTCTGTTACAAATATTGTTGTGTTTCATATGCTAATGATTTTGAAGCTGAAATGATTTTCAGGACAATATAATACCTATTATTAGACCAGCTACTGTAGCTGGTAGGAACATTGCCAGAATTGGTTTGGTATTGATTCACGAGCTACTTTGGTATTGATTCACAATCTGCTCTTTTAGCATCGTGCTTATCTTTACCCTTCCAGAAATTTTCTGTTACAAAGCTCTCAGCCTTAAAGGTTTTATGAAATGAGGAAAAATTAAGAAAGGACAAGGAAAAGATAATGCAATTCTAGGTTTTTTTCTTTTCTGTCCAATTTCTGATCAAAGAATAGTACTTTTGCCCTTGAATGGACTTCCTGGTATAGATGTGAAAGCATCACAGTTCTTACCCATTCTTTTCTGTTTTTTGCCATTTTGTAAGCCAGTGTTGGACCCTAAACTGTCCTGACTTCTCTTGCTTTGGTAGCTGGCCCTAGGCTGTTAAACAGATAATGCTCCACCCTATCCTGTCTCTTTCATTGATGTAGGATTGAATACACCTCAAATAACTGTGCCTCGAAAGAATGTCAGATCCCCAGTAGAAGATTTCTTAATAGCCCTGGTTATGGTAGGTCTCTGTAGATTTTGCAGCCTGCTTTTTCCTTCACATCTCTGTTCCATCACATTAGGGAGCAAATTTTACCCCACTACAAGGAACTTAAGCTAATTCACGAAATTGCTCATCAATCTGCAGTCTTTTCTCTGTTCTTTCTTTCAGAATTCCTCTCAGAGGAATGCCAAGTGGTTAACAACTCGGGAATTCTCTTAATTTGATGTGCTACTCACTGGTAGCTTGAGAACAGAGAACTGTTCCAAGTTTGTAGTCTTAGTTTGTTTATTATTTCTTTAAATAGCGGGGTGTTTAACTACGGAATAATAGCATAGATTGTTTTTTGCCTAGTTTTTTCTTTTTAAAAGATAGTGTTAAAGCAATTCACAACAGCACTGTTTTTCAGCAATCTAAACTGCATTGGGAAATTCCGTTTCTTATAATCAATTGGTAATTTCTTCTT